AATGATTCTATGATTCTATGATTTCTGGTGCTTTTTGAACTACTCCAGCATTTGAAAACTCTTCAAATGTTTACTCTAATTATCTCTTGGGATGGGTTATGACTAATACAAAATAAATTTTGGAACTCCTAGCCTTAAAGGAAGCCTTTGGACACTCCTGCAAAACAAGTTTCAGTGCCTTCCTTTGACTCACAAGGGGTTTTAGCACTTGCACATGAAGTGCTTTCTGAACAGCTTCTGAGGAAAGCTACAACTGTCCACCTCTACCAAGGGACAGACAAAATCAAAGACAGTGGTAGCAATGTGGTTTGGTTTTGGTTGGGTTGGGTTGTTTTTGTTGGTTGGGTATGGGGTTTTTTTTTGTGTGGTTTGGGTTTTGTTTTGTTATGTTTTTTGTTGTTGTTGTTGTTGGTTGTTTATTTTTTGTAACTCTAAACTGTTGAACTTGATTTCACTTAGAACAAGTAACTGTTACTACCACGTTTATTGTCTGGCTCTTTCTGAATAGCAAAGAAACACTTGAATTGTTCCTGAAATTCAGGGTACTGAGCAAACTCTGTCAAAAATCTTTCAGAAAAACCCGCAGATCATGTATCTGGAACAGGAGCTGGAAAGCTTGAAAGCAGTGCTGGAGATCAAGAATGAGAAACTTCATCAGCAGGATATAAAGCTAATGAAGATGGAGAAACTGGTGAGTTTTTCTTGGGGTCTGGCAGGTTTGGACCATGTCTCTGGGTTATGTTCTGATACTGAACTTGGGCTCGTCGGACTAGCGTGCAAGATTAATATTTTTTGGTTTAAAAGGAAACATGAAATGATGATGGGACATGTTCACATTGCAGGTGAAATGGTATCTGCATTGGGCTGTAATGTAAGGAGGGGGAAGGAAACACCAGCTGCTGTAGGTGAACTTTACTTAATGGGCTGTTCAGTCTGGAGAAGCAAAGGCTCCGAGGTGACCTTATTGTGGCCTTACAGTATCTTAGGTGGGCCTACTAGAAAGCTGGGGAGGGACTTTTTAGGATCTCAAGTAACAACAGAACTAGAGGGAACGGGGCAAAGCTGGAAGTGGGCAGATTCAGGCTGGATGTGAGGAAGAAGTTCTTCACCATGAGAGTGGTGAGACCCTGGAATGGGTTGCCCAGGGTGGTGGTTGAGGCCCCATCCCTGGGGGTCTTTAAGGCCAGGCTGGATGAGGCTCTGGGCAGCCTGATCTAGTGGGAGGTGTCCCTGCTCATGGCAGAGGGGTTGGAACTGGGTGATCCTTGTGGTCCCTTCCAACCCTGACAGATTCTGATCTGTTTTGGCAGAGGACTTTGACTCGGTGGTTGGACTTGATGATCTTGGAGGTCCCTTCCAACCTAAATGATTCTATGATTCTAGGACTTAAAACTACTGTTTTGCATAAGCTGTTGCTAAGTTGGTACAGGGTTATCTGGGACCCTCTTCCACATTTCCTTTCCTCTCTCCTCCTGCATCCCCCAAAGAAAAAATCCTTATTTGCTGTGTTTGCTTGAGTGCTATGGAAGATAGATTGCACTGGTAGTAAAACATTAACATGGAAAAGGTCCACATTAAACAAGGGATGAAATATGAAATGGAACAAATGTTTTCATGTAGACCTTATTAGCTTAGGTCAATAATTTTAAATATTAATCATTAAGCTGCTTCTTTATCTGTGTGGATCTGCTCCTGATCTGTGCGTAACTCCACGTGAAAAGGCAATTTGGGGGGCAGCCCTTGTTATTATTTGGCATGTTCTTATTTGTGGCAGGACAAGGTCTTTGTTCTGGGTGGGGTCTTTGAAAACTGTTGTAATACTTGCTTAAGCAAAATTTTAATGAAGTATAGAAAGAGGTTTGGGTAAAACAGAATACATTGATGGCAGTTATTCTCTATTGTACAGCATCACATGTTGCCCTGGCCTACAATTCCTAGGAAACCTTCATCTCTCCTGACAGATGTTGGCCACAGTGTAGACCCTTGGACTACCCAACCACTGTTTTTCCTAACTTCTGGTAACATCCTGCAGCAGTGAAGTAGAATCAGGAGAGCCACAGGGCTGTTTCCACAGGGGAGCTCTTGAATTTGTCACACTAGCATGCTATTTCTAGTCTTCTGTCTGCAACAGCTTACAAAACTGCTGCCCCTCACTGGCAGATGTTACTAGAACAGGCTGGATAACTAGTAGAACCCTTATCCAGTCTGCTTTTGTTGGCATTTAATCAGCACAAGTGGCAAAATGCCAGTTGTTATGCAGGGATAAGGTAAAGTGGGATCTGTTTGGCTGTTACAGAATGCTAAACCATGGTAGCAGGTCAGTCTCACATGACCCTGGGTTTTTGCACTTACAAGGTCTGCAAATTCTAGATTCTCAATGTCTGCAGGAGCTGAGTCAGTATCTTGAGGAATGCATCTGTGTGTTTTATTGTAAACTGTGTCTTTGTTTTTTTAAGCTGGAGAACAACACAATCTTAATGGATAAATTAAAGAAGGTTCAGCAAGAAAATGAAGAATTAAAAGCTCGGATGGACAAACACATGGAGCTTTCAAGGTGAAAAATATCTGGACTCTCAGATGTTCCTGAGAACCAGGGGATGGTGTTTGTGTGACAAGAAAGAAAATTCTGTCTAAATATTAGTGACTGGGATGTTGTAGTGCTCTGTAGGAGAGCACATCTTTCTTCCCCATTTGTATCTCTATGAATGTGCATTCCTATGTAGAAGAACAAGCAGGAACAAGTTGTAAGGGGGTAAAGGCTCAGTAAGTTCTTCAGTGCTCCAAAACAGTATTTCAGGGAAGAAAAAGCAACTCAGAAATACCATCTTATGATAGATTGGCTCTTTAAGTATTTACTGGCTTGTGAGCTAAACTTGGTTTTACTTTTAACCACTTCAGCTGAGTGAACTGTCCCCAGTTCAGACCAGTGGAAAGAGTAGTGTGTTTTATTTAGCAATAATAGCAATGTTGAACATGAATAAAATGGGCCTGAGATTCTCCTAACTTCAGCTGTTGCTGAAATGGATGGGAAAACTCTTTGAGTTTGAAGGAAGCTACTGCAATGCAGCTGCTTTGTAGAGCTGAGCCTCCAACAAGGCCCAGAGGCTCCAGCGTGGCCATTTAAAGCATCTGTCATTGTTAAGTAAGGACAAGTGTCACTTCTCAGATGCTTTTTCTGGCCTTTAGGGATGTTTCTTATTGGGACTTCCTCCTGCTTTCTGCAAGCTACCGGTTTAAATCCAGCAAGGATGAAAACATGCAAACCCTCCTTTTAAGGCAGTAATTTAGTTGTAAGCTAAACAGAGGCTTAGGCAATTTCAAACGTTTCTTTGACAATTAAGTTCAACACTGTCACTTACAGCTGGAGTTCTGTGTGTTCTGATGTAAATCTCTTTTGCAGGCAACTTTCTACGGAGCAAGCTGTTCTACAGGAGTCGCTGGAGAAAGAGTCAAAAGTAAACAAACGCCTGTCCATGGAAAATGAGGAACTTCTGTGGAAGTTGCACAATGGGGACCTATGCAGCCCAAGAAAACTGTCTCCCAGTTCTTCATCCGTGCCTCTTCAGTCCCCACGACATTCTGGTAACTTCTCTAGTCCCACAGTATCACCAAGATGACGCCTCTGGAGAGAAAGAGGGGATTGCACTTCATTTGTGATCTGCAGGACCTGATCCTAACTTTATCCACAGGAGCAAGAGCTATATTAGCCAAGTGTGACAACTAAACCTAACTGGAAACGATCTGGTGCAAAAATGGCGATAAGAGACTGAGAGCATGGGAGCGAGACGTTCACGTTGCTCCTCCCAAAAAGACTTGTTTATGACCTCTATGGACATGGTTGCACAAAGCACTTATAGAGCAAGGAAAGACTTGTTCATTTGCCTTTTCACTGAACTATAAGAAAAAGCTCAGGGGCTTAGAGATAAAGATCACAACCTTTATAGTATGGTCCTTACCAGACACTTTTTTTAAGGCTGTGTGTGTGCGTGTGCTGCGAGTGGAATGGGTGTAACACACTGTGCGTGTGTCTAATGCTGCCTTCTTTGCTGTGTATGTAATAAAGGATAAAAGCTGAAGACTATACATTGACATGTACTTCCTTAATCAAGTCAGTATGCAGGCTTTTAGCAGAGTACCCACACCTGGGGAGGAGGAGGAGGAACTGCCACTAGTACTATAGGCTGGTTTCCTTCATCTTTTTGGCTTCAGTTCAGTAAAAAAATGGCATGAAAAGCTTTGTCAACTGACTTGTTAGTGTCTTGGCTGACCCGAGTATGCAATTTTGAATATAAAATCAAACTGAACTTGCAGCCATATTTTGCATGGATTTTAGTTTAATGCCATGCACAACTCTGCCATTTGTGAGGAGACATTTTTCACAGGATACAGTGAATTTCAGCTTTCAAATCAACAGGGTTGTACTCAGAACCACGGTGTAGCCCTCAAGGTCAGAAGTTAGTAGTTGAGTTGCAGGTTTAGAAAACTAGACCTATCATCTTCCCTGCTGGAAAGGAGTCACTTATTTCCCCAAAACACGTCCACTGCTGAGGCTGTCTGCTGAGGAAAAACTAGATGTAGATTTGAAAGCCAAAGAGAAAAATGCAATAATTGTCGTTAGGTGCATTCTTAACTCAGTTCTCAAGAAGAATCTCAAGTTACTTTGTGGATTCCAATGTCTCTGGTGACACACTTTGCCTTTTTAAGCGTTAGCATTGATTTGTATTAACATTCTTCAGGGTTGGTTAAATTCACCTGAGGAAGAGGGGGAAGGTGGTCGCTGTGTATTTACTGTGCTAATTTGGCCTTACATTCCCTCTCAGACTGCAGGAGTTCAGTGGTTTGCCATTTCATTTGGCAAAAGATCCTGCACAAGAGATTCTGTAGAACAGGGGAAAAAAATAAGCAACTGTCCTGGTTGCTGGAACTAGAGGCTGAGGGTGTCGGCATTTCTGTAAGTGTCACGTGCTGAGCTTCAGGGTCATTGCACAGCCTTGCTACACCCTTGGTCAGAACTGGCTAAGATGTCTACTTTGTACCTATGAACACAGGTCCAACTTCAAATGAGTATCACAAAACACTACCTGTGCTTCCACTGGCCTGTGTTTTACAGGCCCAGGTGCAGGACTGTTGCTACACCCCTGTTGAGCTGCTGCTGCTCACCAGCTCTGCTGGTAGCTGTTAGGGTGAACTGTATCCACGGAGTTTCCCTGTGGCTTTCAGTAGCTTGGGGACAGGAATCGAGGGAATGAAAAGTGTTTAGGGAACTCAGCTGGAGAACCACTTCAAGCCATTTTACTCAAGACTTGAAATATCTTGGCTAGTCATAAGGAAGACAGGCATATAAACAGGACTGTTAACAGTGCTTATACAGTAAGTAAATTTGTAATACCTTTAAAATATTTCATCATTACATTTACTTACTTTTCCATAATGTACAAGTTAAGGGTGACATTTATGGAACATTATGGTCTCTTCTCATCCTCTCAAAAAATGTTTTCTAGGGGTTTCAAATTTAACTATGAAAAATCATCTGTGGTCTAAAACTTGGCTTATCTTGGAACATTTTTATTTTCTATGGTCAAAGAGATTTGATCACGTGTATTTGAGCTGAATGCTTGAAAAATAAATTTTGTTTACTGATTGAAGGGTTTTTCTCTTGCTTCCATTAGCCAAATGATCGTTAATCAAAGAAGGAACATTCCTCCTAAAAACTCTTAGTACCTGCTCAGCCTAGCAGAACACCAGTAGTGAAGCTTCACTGCAAATTATTAATGTTCAGCTAACAGAAAATTTTAACTCTACCCCTGCTACTCTAATGTAGGCAGAAGTTACAAAGAGCTTGCTTGTGATTATTAGTGATTCAGTTTGAGTTGGCTGTTAAAAAAAAAAAAAGGCAGAATGTAATAACATTACAGAATTAAGCAATAATTTTTTGAGTCCAGTTGGCTTAATACAGGGACCCAACGTGCATATGCCTGGTAAAGGCCTCATCTTGTTGAAATGCTCACTTTCTTCATGAAATTTTTTGTATGAGAAGCCACACAGAGTTTAGCAGTCTAACAGGTCATGTCAGTTAACATGCATAACGTTAACAGTTGCAATGTTAATGCCTCAATTAAGACGGGCAAGAAGAGCACGTACGAATCTTTGAAGATCAGATCCAGTGTACCCCTGCATGTAACAGAGAAAGGGAAGCTTTTCCAGGCTACAGATACAGAAAAGTAAGTATGGTATAGTAAATAATACAAAGACTTTCGATTTGTCAGCGGTTTCCCTCCACAATACAGAAGACTCCTCGCTTCTAAACTTCTTGCAAGTAGAATTTTTTATGAAGAAATAAAGAATCATTGTATATAGAAATCAGACTACAGAAATACACCTGTTTAATGTTTGTCCTGTTGCTTAAAGGAAAATTAAATAATTCTGTTCATCTGTGAGCACTGTCTCAATGTTTTTCTCCATTTCGGTATTAATATTTCACACTTTAACTTAACTGTTGGATCAAAGTCTTTGCTAACACCACGACTTATATTTTGGGGGGAATTTCTTCAGCAGTTTCCTTCAGGAAAAGCTAGACTACTACTCACCAGAAGTATGTGCCAGAGGTCTAGTTCTAGTCCAGCAATTAAATTATTTTCTTCAGGTACTCAATGTTAGCTAGTAAGTCTAACTCTAATTTTATGTTTCAAAGGAAGTTAGAGTGACATTTATATCTGTACCAAATAGTTTATTGCCATTCAAACTTTTCATAACATAGCTCACCTCCCTTCAATGCTCCTCTTTAAGGGTTTTTGTATGAGCTGCACTGTATTTGCTGTGAAATTTGAGGTGAATCATTTCCTTACTCTAACTGAAGACTGGAAGTTTCTCATTACAAACACCAGAGAGCTGCATGTGAATTAGTATCATGCAATTCATGCAGGAAATTCCTTCTAGGCAGTAGGTAACCACTGATCATTAGAACTGTAGTTGCCTGACAGCCAGGAAATTATTTAGGACTGAGCTGGAGTTAAAGAGGTCATCAGAAAGTTGAAATAATCAAGGAACCCCTAAGAAACAAGATACCTTCTGTCCACTGCAGCTGCCCTACTTTAGGAGAGCAGCAACTGAGGTATGAAAATAGAAATAAAAACTGGCAGGTTTAGGGATAGGACTTTGACAAGTCACCTAAATTTAATTTCTCAAGGTTTACTCTCATATCCTGTGTCACTGTTCATTTATGTGGAAATGTGTAATTGCATCAATGTAAAAAGAATCAGGCCTGCCACAGAGGCTTTTGGTAAAAATAAGAACTATGTAAAATATTTAGTAAAATAATTCTCATAGTTTATAAGCATTGTTTTGATGTTTGCAGGAAGGAAAAAAAAAATCTTCCTTAAAGGCATTGCTTCTGTAGTTCTAATAACCCTGAGAGCTGGATGTGACCAGCACACCTACCACTATACCTGACAGAGACCACCTGAGCAGGAATCAATCTATCTCCTCAGTCTTTACCATGGGTATTTATCACATCAGCTACATTGGTTTTTTCCTGCCTGCTGAATAAAAGGCTTTCAGCAAGCTTGCTATATGTTTTCATTAGCTAATAACTACTAATAATGACATAATTAAGGAAGCTGCCATGTTTACATCAGTACTTGCTAGCTATTGCTACTCAAAACTGCACTATGCACATCTGCTCCAAGGTTGGAATTACCTGGAGCAAAGGGCTCACTTCAAACCTTCACCTGAAGAAAGCTTTAGGTCAATTTAGGAATTCCAGGCAAACGCAGGCTGAGCCACACTGAAGTAGGCAAGCAGGGTCCAGGTTCCTGGCGTGGTTCCTCGTACGCTCACCGTGAGCTGGTTTTCACATCCCTTGTAAATAAAAGGGATGCATTAAAAACTCGGTCACACGGTTACACGACTGAGTAGATCTGCATTGGATGTTCCAGCTTACCTGGATTGTGTGCTTGAGCAGAGGTACAAAAACCATTGCCAAAGTGTCCAACAATGTTGATTTATCAACTTCTTACCTTTTCTCTGGAAAGTCTCTTTCCTTGTGTTGGTAACTAAGCCCAAGGTGAGAGAAGCAGACACGGGTCTGTGTAAATGAAACATCTCTCCTTGTCTCCCAAGTCAACTAATACAATCCAGTTGAACTTGTTACTAAGCTGAGAAGAGATTCTGCTATATAACTGAACATTGTTCCAGTGTTATATTGGGGGGGTTTAATTCTGTAAATTATACTACATAAATGTTTTACCTTTAGCAAACATAATCTGTTAGATAATTTAGTAAACAAAACACCATACATCTCCTGAGGAGTGAATTCTAAGTGAGATTCATGTTATAAGTTTGTAAGAATGTAACGACGTAAGAAAAACCCAACCTATCCAGCCACTTAGAAGTCTCTAGAGATACCCTCTAGTACCTTCATCTGTATTTAGTATTAATCTTCCCAGGAGTGGAACTTTATGTGTGTTTAGTGTTTATATCTTTATACATAATATGGAATGAACACAAACACAATAACATTTTCATGATGTTCAGAAATTTAATTTTTCTTGCAAAATCAGCATTTGCTATTGGCTAGTTCTGTAACAAGTTTGGGTTTGTATTTTATGCTTATTTGTTTGGTTGGGTTTTTTTTGTTGTTGTTGTTAGCATGGATAATACTATAAAATTACACAGCACCAAAAGATACACCTGCCTGGTGGATTTTTGAGGATATTTAATATCCTCTCAGTTCTCACATACACAAAAAAGGAACAAACCATATACTGGTTTAACCTCAAGAAAGAGTTTGATGAATAAGACCATATACAAAGGAAAGCCCAAGAGCACCTATTCCTAAATACAATCCCTACGCATGCTCAGGCTTAAAAATGTTAACTACTTCAAAGTGGTTAATTATTAACTCACAACTGGCCACTGCTGGGCACAGGCCTGACAAGCCAGTAAATATGGAATGTATTGACATATGAAAAGAGATAGCAATAGAGGAAACTTCATTTAAACTATTAATAAAGAAGATAAATGGCTATTATGTCAAATAACATACAGTTTGTTCTCTGTCCAGAAGCCTTTCCTATCAATTTAGTTCAACTTTAGTAGCTACTGTTGTTTCTCCTTGTAGGTTCTGAGCTACACAAATGTAGTCTCCAGCATCTCTGGCTTCAAAATCCTCAACAAGAAGAATGCTCTTTGAGATTCTTGTGGTATGTCCAGTTCCTCTGTTTATCAGTCTCCAGAAGTTTTGGATAATCACAGGCCTCTCAGACTGTTTTAAAAGAAAATACAGAAGAAAACACCTGATTCAACAAAATGTGTATTTAGTGACACTGCCCTATCAAACCCTGAGGCAAGATGTCCCATAGTTGGAGCCTATGTCCAGGAGCCAAATCTTAGGTGGGGGAAGTGAAGGTGTCTGGCTGCTGCAGCCACGCTGATGTGCTGCACATCAAGGTACCAGTAAGTTCTGTCAAGTCAGGGTACTACAAGGGCTCCTTCTTCCACTCTCTGCCTATCTTCACACTTCAAAGGGCTGCTACAGCTCTGCCTGGAGCACATGAATTAAGGTGCAGCTGTGGGCCACCTACTAAGGTTGTATTTGGGTACTTGATCAAATAGGTGAGGCGACGTGTGGGAGATGTCAGGATAGACGTGTGAGCTTACTGTCAGACTTTCAGCGTGCCTCAAGGATGGCAGCAGCGACATGAGTTAGTTGACCAAGCTCTACCTAGTTCTCTTTTAGCACAGAAAATAGCTTTACAGCATGTGTTGCAAACTAATTCTTCCTCCTCTAGTTTCAGAACACTGTATTAGATAACATATAAGCAAACAACAACAACTCACAAATGCTTCTAAATGAATCCTCACATTACATTTTCCAAAATGTCTATGTACCATCGAAGGCAAAAATATGAACAAGGATGCTTAGAAAGATGCTTTTTAGATTTTCTTCTTGTTGTTACATTTATAATAACAATTTATATGTTTTTTACTCTCCTGTAGGAGGAGTCTCTGAAGGACTGTTTATCAGGTCACACTCCCTGGCACCTCAGAAGTTTAAAACAGACTGGCTAAGAGAAACTGGCCCAAATATAGGCTAAGTGTCTCTTTTCTTATCAAATCCATCATGCTAGTTAGCAACTTCAATCCTGTTGGCTTGAGCTCTACCAATAACCTGGATAAAACTGCTGAGAGAAAGGTTTCTGCTTGGAAACCATCTCCTCTTGCTTCACGAAACAGATGGAGTAGCCGTTTACCAACAGGAATGCTACACAGCTCGAGCTAACAGTTGCAAAAGGATAAGTTTTAGTGCAAAAGGACACTTCTCTAAAGCCACAGCTATAATCTCACACTTGCAAAATGCCCAGTACAGAAGCAGCTGCCAGCCTCCCTGAAGCTCAGGGATGGGTCATGGTGCAGTCACAGAATGCCCAGGAAGCAGCAGGCATTTACAGCTAGCAAGAACTTTTTGTAAAAATGGTCACTTCATCTAGAAATTCTGAACCCTTTAGAAGGGATCAAGCCACTGGCAGAGCTCTACCCAGCAGAGCTCGACCTCCTGTTCCCAGCCTGGACCAAGTGCTACCTACCAACAAGTACTACTGCACACTGAATTCAAGCCTAAGTTAGTTCTTAAATATAGCACGTGGAACTTCCCTGACCCTACTGAAAGTGAAGGTAAAGGCCATATAAGGCACATGCTATTTGTCTGCCTGGGCTCCTGTTAGCCAAATTTTTCTCAAACTGATTGCCTTCTGCTTTAAAGCTGTTTCCAAGGAATCATCTTAAGATCAGTCTGCATCCACAGCAGGTGAATGAACAAATGCAACTATCAGGGAGTGGCAAGGGGAAAAAAAAAAAAAAAACAAAAACAACAAAACAACAAAACAACTGAGAACAAACCAGTAAGAGGGAGAGGTTAGTGGCTGCAGAGATGGGTGTCCCTCCAGTGCAATGTACCTAGGAGCAAGCAGGGATTAAAGTGCTGCTTCTGCTCCAGGATCAAGTGGTAGGTGACAGCCAGCTGCTGGGTGGGACTATCACTGATGGCCCTGTACTGAAAGCAGCAGCAAGGAATGGCAGCATCCAGTGAATCACTGAACTCTGTCAGACCTTTTTCTTGCACAAAAGGTGTATCTGACCAGCATCACTGATGGTCCTCTCTCTTCTCCCTCCACCCCCACATTTTTCCTTTGCAGTATGTGAAGTTTCACAATAAGCCTCCACAAGCACACAGTACTTCTACTCTAACATCTCCTTAATCGTGCTACTGAGGCAGAAACCCAAACACGACTCTCCCCTCCCTGTCCCCAGGCACAGCTGGAGCCGAGATGGCTCACTCCACTGGATAAGCACATCTGCCCTGGCCGCAGGCCAAAGCCTCTC